ATGTGCAGCCACTCAGTTGATCTTTGCAAAAGAAAAGTTCCAACAGGTAGGCAAAAGAAACACCGTGGATGTTCTAGAAGGCCAATTATATCGTGGGCTGCATTAAAAGAGTGTGCAGCAGGGACATGGAGGTGATTGTCCCCCTCTACTCAGCTCTTGTGAGGCCCCATCTGCAGTACTGCGTCCAGGTCTTGGGCCCCCAGTACAGGAAGGATGGTGGAGCTCTTGGAGAGGGTCCAGAGGAGGGCACTGAGATGATCAGAGGGCTGGAGCATCTCTCCTATGAGGAAAGGTTGAGGGAACTGGGATTGTTTAGGTTGGAGAAGAGAAGGCACTGGGGAGACCTCATTGTGGCCTTCCATACTTGAAGGGAGTGTATAAACAGGAGGGGGAACGGCTGTTCATGAGGGTGGATAGTGATAGGACAAGGAGGAATGGTTTTAAACTGAGACAGGGGAGGTTTAGGTTGGATATTAGGAGGAAGTTTTTCACCTAGAGGGTGGTGATGCACTGGAACAGGTTGCCCAAGGAGGTTGTGGATGCCCCATCCCTGCAGGCATTCAAGGCCAGGCTGGATGTGGCTCTGGGCAGCCTGGTCTGCTGGTTGGTGACCCTGCACATAGCAGGGGGTTGGAACTAGATGATCATTGTGGTCCTTTTCAACCCAGGCCATTCTATGATTCTATGGTAGTGTTTCTGTAGGAAACATTCCAGGCTTTCCTATTTAGATATCTGCTGTTGGTACACAATGTGGTCTTTGCTTGACAGCGCATCTTTGCCCACAGTTATTCTCAGCCCCTCTTTCTTACACTGCTGGAAGCAGGATGTGTTTTTATTTTGGGGTGTGGTATTACAGTGAGAAATATCTCTGCCTTAAAGAAACACCACAACAGCTCTGCAAACAGTGAACCACCTCAGTCACCAGACTGGCTTTAAAACAAAAAAGTGAACTCTTCATCGCTCTTCTGCTGCTCAGAAAGACACTGGGAAGCACTGAGCCAAAAATCAGCCACAAGTGCTGTTTTCATCTCTTTCAGAAGCACTGGTGTTGAGATCACACGCATCTGGTCTGCAGCTTTTCAGCTGCCTTTCCAGCAAACCCGAGTTATGCGCTGCGAAGGAGCTTTCAAACTTAAGAGCAGTGCAATCTATTTGTGACAAAGTGATTGTGGTATTTGGAGCAAATGCGATAATAGAAGGTGTTTCTGGTTTTTGTTTCTTGTTTTGCATATATTCATGATTTCTGGAAGGCGACTGCTGCTGGGAGCAGAGATTTATGCTAATAATACCGTATTTTGCAGTTTATTAAGAAAGGGAAAGAAAAGATGCCTTAAGTGAATTTAATATCCACCAACAGCTTTGGTAGGTGCAGATTTCAGTTCGGTTTTGAAATGCATTCAGATACTTCATGAAAGAGTTAATTTCCTGTTGTGGTGCTGCGATTGATAGTCAGAGGAAATAGGAGGTACCTGGAAAGAACTTCTGATTCCTAATGTTGCAGAAGTTGCCTTGCTGTTGGCTTGCCTCCCCTCCGCTTTGTTATTTTTACCCAGGCTCCCTAATCTTTCCCCTTGCCTTTAACCACCTCCCAGTTTCCTGTTCGCTTCTTCCCTCTGTTTTCTGTCCAAAATACAGGCTTGTTTTTCGCTTTCCTTTGCAGTTGGTGTGGATTGCAGGGCAGCGAGCTAAGATGAATGCCATAGCTGTTTTCACAGTCTCTATTATCTTCTGTATTTCATGCCTCTTTGCTGCTCTCGGTGTAAGTTATTTATTCAAGGAGATTTTGTTGCAAGAGTGTTCTTTGTACAGGGGCATGTGTTTAGAACTTGTTCGTGTTGTGCTTTGCTGTCGGTCCGGTGATTACAAACACTCCACTGGAGCTCTTTAAAACTTCTGCACTGAGTCGTGCTTTCTCTGCAGTGCTTAGCATGCACTGAATGCCATTCCTTGCCTATTGCAGGGAGAGACATTTCGTTTCTTTTGGATATGTGTGGCTTCAAACAATGTGAAGGGGTAACTTGCTTTCTTTTCCCTCCAAATATTCCAGTGCTTTTTCAACTTTGACTTACAGCATTATTTCACTGTCATTTCTCCAGCCCCAGAAACAGCGCGCGTTAAGTATAACTTCACTTTGCAGTAATAGAAAGCATTTTGCTTTTCTTTTGCAGATTGCATTCTCACAACACAGCAACTTTATGGACCTGGTACAGTTCTTTGTGACGTTTTTCAGGTACATTTCCTTACAGACAGCTCAATGTTTCTTCTTTTTTTTCTTTTTTTTCCCGTCGCGTTTTGTTTTGCAGTGCAAGTCTTTGTTTTTCTGTTGTTGTTGTTGCTCTTTTTTTAATTAAACATCCCGCTTACATGACAGCCAAGAAAATGGAAATTCCTACTGTGTTTAAAGCATTTAATTAGGGATTATGTTAAGAAAATTGCCTGCGTTCGCAGATGCATCTTGTCCTGTGCATGCTAAGAAAGGGAGCTTGGGGGAGGTGGGAGGCTCTGTGAAGTGCAGAAGTTACTTTTATAATGGTATAGGAGACAGCATTTGGGTCCCCACGTCCTGCAGATCAAATATGTCTTAGAGAAATTGCAAATATTCCCATATCCTCGGGTACAAGTTATAAATCAGTGATTTTTGCGGAGTTAAACACGGACTGGTTTCAAACTCTGTAGGGTAGCACCTTTTCATTTCAAACTGAGCTCCGAGAATACATCAAATATAATCATATAAATTAACACAGTTGAAGCTGAATACTCATTCAGGAACTGCTTGGTAAAGTTCTTTCCTTAGTGTAAAGTAAATTGTTGATTCCATGGGAGTGCAACCAACAGACATATTTTTGGTATTTGCTTCCTTTTCCATCCTCCAAAGCAGTCTATCCCTAACACAGAGGTTAAGTGAACCCCCAGGCACAGCAGCCATCTCCTTAAGGTTTCATGATCTGATACCTTGCTCCTTATTTTAGAAACTGGTGATGCTCCACAGATATAAAGCAGTAATTGATCTATAGGAAGAACACCCACAAGAAGGGTTTCTGTGTCTATTTAGTCCAGAACTTACAGCCTGTTTTAAAGTATGCAATATCATGCCCATTTTAAACTGAGCAACGTGAATAACACCTTGCTTTAGATTCTGTGCTGAAGTTAATTAAAGCAAGGAGCTCCAGATGGGTCCTTCAGACAAATAGTTTATATCAGATCTGAGTGGTTTCTTTCAGCTGTGTGTAGTGTGCTTTAATACAATCCCAGGTAAACACCAGATTTGAACCACTGCTTTGTTGGCATCGACAGGCCAAAAAAAGTGTTTACTCCTTGATCAGACTTAAGTGTTTGTTCCGTTGCAGTAAAGACCTCTTCTAAAAATCTTTGTGGCAGGTTAATTACTTACAAGGAGAACTAACAGAGCAGTAGTTGGCTCTTCATTTCCTTTTTAATGACACATGGTTGATTTGTGCTTTCCAAATTAGCCATTAGTTCTTCACAGACCCAGGTCCACCTGCAGATGAGAGTTTGAAGCCCTTTAATATGTGTAGTTTGGTTATTGGAAGAGCACAGCAGTTTTAGGCAGAAGATACACTGGAACAGGTTGCCCAAGGAGGTTGTGGATGCCCCATCCCTGCAGGCATTCAAGGCCAGGCTGGATGTGGCTCTGGGCAGCCTGATCTGGTGGATGGTGACCCTGCACATAGCAGGGGATTGAAACCAGATGATCATTGTGGTCCTTTTCAACCCAGGCCATTCTATGATTCTGTGATACGTGTGTTAAATATCTCGGTGAGCTCATGCTGTTGGAAACACAGAAGTTATGTGCACCAAAGCCAGACAGCAGTGATTTTCCTTCCTTCCCTCGCTGCTATCATGTGGCTCTCCCTGAGAAGTAATGTTTCCATGTCACTTTAATAACATCTTAACATGCCAGAGGAATAAGAATGCGTGTGTTAAGGAGAAAGACAGTTTACTGATCCTTTCCAACCACACATTCATAATGCATTAAGAAGTCTTCGTTTCTTCAACTGTAACTACTGCTAGGATCCTCTCTTAGTATTTTATTTTACATTCATTCCTACTTGCTAAGGAACCAGTGTATTACAGTAGCATGATTCATCTCTGTGTGTAGGCAAAACTATTGAAACTCTTGTATTTGTGATGCTCGAGGATGCACTCTTGTATTTCTAATGCTCTGGGGTGCATCTCATAATCACAGTTGCGTCTAAGTTAAAGTATAAAGTAAGTAAGAGCCGATAGCCCCCTGTGATGCTAATGAGATAAAGTTGGCTGAAAATTTGCACGCTGAGCAGAGGCAATGAAAATGCTTTCTGCAAAGCCTAAAGGCCATTGGTAAAACCACTTTGGAGATACAGACCATCTCTAATGCGAGCACTGAAACGCGTTGAGCGTGATGGATGTGAAAACAGACACCTTGTCCTGGAAAATCAATGTTCAGAATGACTTTGTTATTCTGCAAGTAATGTTTATATGAATTTGCTCTGCTGGTGATGACGTGGCATGTTTCCATCCCATAGGGGCCACCCTGTGCTTTCTTGTGACCCCAACCCCAATCTGCTCTTCTGCCATGCCACCAGAAGACACAGCTGTGTCTTGAGGTTCATGGGGAACCTTCCAGGGAAATGGGTGTTTTACAGTCTTCATTTCTTTACTGTTGTTTGCTGTGATTGAGGTCAAGTAAATCCCTATAGTGGGCACTGGACTGCAAGCCACGTTGTGTATCTCCAGTGCAGCTTAAATTATGAAGCATCACAGGCTGCTGCAGAGCCCCAGCTCTCTGTGAGGCACATAGAGAAGCCAGGAACCAGACAGTGCACTTCTGTGGCATCAGGCAGGATAAAATGTGACTGGATTTGGTTTCCATTTAATTTAAGAGTTGGGCTACGTTGGGTCACAGGGGGTGAGTATCGCATCTGAAGGTGCCCTCCTGGAGCTCCTTTTGGAGTCAGTGTGGCTGTGTGCAGCCATTATTTTGTTTTGCAACACGTTAACTGCTTATTTCAAGCAAAGGAAATGTCAGTGGATAAAGGCTGAGATACAACAGTGAAGTTGCAGGGTCGTTAATATTGCATTATAATTGGAGCTGCAGGAGAAATGATATTCTAACCATTGTTAACCTTTGCAAATCTAAATGAATTGCAAGCAAACTGTTTCTTTTCCAGTTTCCTTCTCTGTTTTCCGTAGTGAAGCTCTTTAATATAAAATCTTGCCAATCTCTTTCAGCAGAAAGTTCAAGCTTTGGTAAATGTTGTTGGTATCTGTACTTTATCTTCCCCTGTGTGCCATCACACCAGTCTATAAGATGTATTTTTCACCGGTATCTCGTTGCATACAAAAGATGTGAAAATATCAAAGCTTTTAAACTCGTGGTACTGACCTCCAGTCCTTTTTCTTCCTTTCCTTTTTTTTCTGTGTAAAACATTGCATCTGTATCTCATCAGTGCTTCTCCATGTTGCTGGCCAGTTCAGTAGAGACTTAAAAGATAAATATGGATAGGTTTGAAGGAAATCAGGATGGAAAAGCACGTATAAGCACCAGAACAAACAGCAGAACAGAAGGAGAAGGCATGGCTTGTGTGATAACTGATAAGGATCATGGTTGTAACCCCCATTCATCACAGAGAGGAGACCCCTGTGCTCCAAAACCTGGAGAGGGTGGCAGCAAGGTCACAGCAAGTTGCCATTGCTGCTCCCTTTCCTGTAAGCATAGCAGTCCTAAGAAACTCAAAGCAAGGAGACGTGCATGCTTTCACTGCCCTGCCTGAAAGGTCAGAAGAAGGAAGTGAACAAAACTGTGGCCAAAGGGATCTGCCGAAGATGCTGCTGAGCCTTACATGGTGTGAAAGGCTGCAAACCATGCTTGCTGAGCCCAGGGAAAAAGCCAGGAGGTATAGCAAGGACATGACAGCCAGCATCCCTTGTCTTCCCTTGTGCAGGAAACAAGCGAGGTTGGCCAGATAGATGGCCATAGACATTTGGAGGTTTGGGGTCTGAGAGTACAAGAGGGTATCATTGCTGTTCTGTGGGCTTTTGTGAACTATAATCACCTTCTCCTTCCATAAGACCTCAACCCGTGCTTTGTTCCACTCACATCTCATGCTTTTCCTATTGTACTTCTGCTCTGTGTTCTCATGTGCAGCATTCACCCCATTTCTTGGCTGCTCCATGTCTTCTTTCATATCTTTGCTCAGAACATCCTCCCTGGAATGCTCCATGCTGCCTTTATGTAAGTCTCCTTGTAGTCTTACCACGATGCTTCAAGATAGAGTCCACTGCAAATCTTGTCTTTTCACAGCACCACAGCATTGATGTGAATATTTATGGCCTGTGGTGAGCTCTGAATATCAAATTGTGTAGTTTTGCTTTGGTGCAAAAACAGAAAAAGACTTCAGAGGGAATGGTGTTTATATGATTGTCAAGCAGGTGGTTTAAGGTGCTCTGTATTGGTTTTCATGGCTGTAAACATCTGTCCAGTGTTTTTATTAAGTAGGAATGATGTGTTTGCAATAATTCAAACCTGAAGTCATGCTGCAGTTATTTTACTTAATCTTTTTGCTTATTAAATAGTTTCTTTCTGCAGCAGAGATATGTGTCTCAAATACAGTCTGGATCTTTTTTTTTTCGTCTGTTTTTTCCCCGAGGTAAAGGAAAAGCTTGGAAATATCTGAATGTCATTTCTGACAAGATGAGGAAAATTAAGAATTTTCTGTTCATAACTTCCTTCTTTCCATGTTCTCCTCGTCCCTCTTCAGTTACCTCTCCAGAAGGGCCATATGGTCTCTGCTTCATTAATTAATCCCATCATTATCCATGCTTATTTATGCTTTTGGCCTCTGCAGTCTCCCATGGTGACATAGGGATTTGGAGTGAGGTATAAGCACTCTTTTCATTTTCTTTTAAACCTATTGACTCAGTTTAGCTTATAGGTTTGTAGAGTTTAATTTAGGTTTGCATATGTGTTGTGTCCTTGCTCTTATCTTAGTCGATACAGGTGATGGAAATCAAAGAGCAGTGAGTTATAAGACGTTGTTCCAGGTGAGCCATGTGGATCTCAACACTCCACTGACATCAATTAATTGGGGGTTTCCCATAAGTTCATAGAATCATAGAATCATAGAATGGCCTGGGTTGAAAAGGACCATAATGATCAAATATTTTCAACCCCCTGCTATGTGCAGGGTCACCAACCAGCAGACCAGGCTGCCCAGAGCCACATCCAGC